CTGCTTTTTGTCATTTATATAAATGATTTGGATGTGAACATAGGAGGTACGGTTAGTAAGTTTGCAGATGACACCAAAATTGATGTTGTAGTGGACAGCAAAGAAGGTTACCTCACAGTACAATGGGACCTTGATCAGAGGGGCCAATGGACTGAACAGTGGCAGATGGAAGTTTAATTTAGATAAATGTGAGGTGCTTCACTTTGGAAAGGCAAATTAGGGCAGGACTTATAAACTTCATGGTAAGGTTCTGGGAGATGTTTCTGAACAAAGAGATCTTGAAGTGCAAGAACATAGTTCCTTGAAAGTGGAGTTACAAATGGATAGGATAGTGAAGAAGGCATCTGGTATGCTTGCTTTTATTGGTTAGTGCATTGAGTATAAGAGTTGGGAGGTCACGTTGCAGCTGTACAGAACATTGGTTAGGCCACTTTTGGAATACTGCGTGCAATTCTGGTCTCCCTGCTATAGAAAGAATGTTGTGAAACTTCAAAGGGTTCAGAAATGATCTACAAGGATGGTGCCAGGGTTGGAGAGTTTGTGCTATAGGGAGAGGCTGAATAGGGTGGGGCTATTTTCTCTGGAGCATTGGAAGCTGAGGGGTGACCTCATAAAGGTTTATAAAATCATGAGGAGCATGGATAGCATGACTAGCCCTTGGGTAGGGGAGTCCAAAACTAGAGGGCATAGGTTTAAGGTGAGAGGGGAAGATTTAAAAGGGACCTAAGGAGCAACTTTTTCACGCTGAGGGTTGTGCATGTGTGGAATGAGCTGCTTGAGGAGATGATGGAGCCTGGTACAATAACATTTCAAATGCACCTGGATGGGTAAATGAATAGGCAGGGTTTACAGGGATATGGGCCAAATGCTGGCAAACAGGACTAGATTAATTTAGGATATCTGGTCGGCCTGGACAAGTCGGACCGAAAGGTGTTTCTGTGCTGTACAACTCTACGACTCTATGCAATAAAACATTGCTAAAGTGGCTAAAGAAAGGATGTGTTCAGTTCAGACAAAGCAGTTTGAATTTTGGCTTTCTGTTAAAGTCATTACTGCAATCAATAGGGGAAAATGCTACACTTATTTTCTTTCTAACAATTTTCTCATATCCAATTATCTGCAACTCTTGTTTCTTTCTTTTTCATTGCTAAAAGCACTGACTCCCTGTTAACTATTTGTTAATAACTGTTACAATGAGAAGTTTTGGTGAGTAATTAAGCAACCAGAGGCTTTGTATTTAAGCCTAATACATCTTCAACTTATTATAGAAAAATGCATTTCCGACAAGGGACAACTGGAGAGTAATCAGGAACAGGTGCCCAACCAAAGGATATTGAGGGCCATTGCTACATCAATATTAAAGTCCAAGATCAATGAATGTATCATAACTGGGGGTTTTTGAGTTCAAATTTCTTTGTACAGCTTATTTATTCAAAGTATAAATTTGATAAATTTTTAGGTGAGTGTGAAAGGGCTATGATGACAAAGACAGGAGATAAATTATCCATGCATGATGTTATATTACAGAAAACCAAACATAGTTTAAAATTTATCATTGAAAATTCTTAAAACTTTGGCACAGTTTAAATAGTTTAGTCCATTTTTATTTTATCTTAGATAATTCTGAGCAGGATGAAAACCTACAGCAATTGTTCTGGTTTTCTTTCTTTCTCGCTGCATCTTCATGTTGATGTAATGTACAAACCAATTGTCTTTGACTGACAGGAATAGGTCATTGATTTTTATATGTCACAGATCAGTGAATCAGAGAATTTACAACCCCATAAATATAAGAAAGGTTTCAGCAGTGTCTTCTTGATGTGACTTTTCATTATTGTAAATCAGTGTGGTTTTCACCTAGGCTTTGCTAAACAGGATTTGTCAACTACCTGTAATTAGATTATCATGACATACAAACATAAATAATTAGCAGATGATCTAGTAGTTGTTTTTATGTCCTCACAGTTTTCATTACTAATGATTATAGAGGGTGGGGCAGCAGAATGAACTATCTAGTGAACCTGGACATCTGAATATCTTAAAACTCCTGTGCTGCTGCAAGATCGGAGCTGTGCATCAACAATACATTACAGTAGGTGAGGTTTGACATCAACAGACCTGAGAGAGATTAACGAGTGATTACTAAATAGAAATTATTAAAAGTATAACTTCGTGCCAGTTCTGTTTGTCTCTTCTGTGTAACTATGTTACCCCTTTCTGTGCTGAATATTAATTCTTTAAGTGTTTTATTTGTTGATCTAAAATATTTAGTCATTGCTCACATTGTTACTTTGGAAAAACTGTTTTGATTTTTCTCTGAGATAACAAGGTGTAGAGCTGGATGAACACAGCAGGCCAAGCAGCATCGTAGGAGCAGGAAGGCTGACGTTTTGGGCCTGGACCCTTCAGAAATTCCTACTAACTCTGATACAATTTTAACCCCTTGATTTTTCTCTGGGTTTTTTAATGTCATCTTTCATTAAAATTAATTTGCATAAAAATGAGCAGAATGTTGGCGTTTTAAGGAATCTAGATTAAAATTTACCAAACAATTACCTCCTCTGAAAACAAAACTTTATGCAATTGTGTTTGAAAACTTCAAACTAAGTGCAAATTCCACCTATGCTGGAACAATGACTGTCTGACCAGTGGAAAATCTCGGCCAAAATCTCTATTCCTTTTAAAAACCAGAAGGCCTCTATATATCAATATAGTTGCTCCAATTTTCTTTTTCATATTAGATCTAAAGAAGAATAACTTTTATAATTAAAATTAACATTTCAAAAGTTTTTCACAGGTTTTTTCTTTTCTCAGTCACATTATTCATTGTATCGCTCAGGTAGTATAATGTTGTGCCTTCATTTCATGGCTTAGGTCTTCACTTCTCTCAGTCATTTAGTAGAAGCATTTACTTAAAGTGACAGGTTTCTTTATGTACACGTCTCCACATGTACACAATTTCGATGAGTTTGCATAAAAATCTGCTCATATGACTCTGACACATTGTTAGTCAACGTTTTCTCTGGTCACTCTTATAGGTTTGTTGTGACACGTTAGGCATGTAACAAATCAAGCCAAGGAAACCTCTCTGACCTCGTCTCTTGGGAGCTTCCATCTCAGACATCACTGTCACTTTTTCAGGACTCTGCTTCATACCATCAGGTTTGTGTACCATTCTGAAAAACTCAGATTCCATCACCTTCACAATCTATTTGTCTGCGTTTAGCTTGATCCCAGCTTTCCTGGTTCTCTCCATGGCTTCTGGATGCTGAAAGGATATTTCCATTGTAGGAAGTAATAGAACTAGGGGACCCAGTTTAAAAATAAGGAGCCTCTTCCATTAAAGATGGATTTGAAAAGAATTTCCTCTCGAAGAGTGGGGAATAAGCAATGGAAGCAGAGTCACTGAATAATTTTAAAACATAATTTTAATACATTCTTATTGACAAAGAAGTCAAAAGTTATTGCAGTCAGTGGGAACATCGAATTTAGGTCACAATCAGTCATGATCTTTTGAACAATGGCACAGGATTGAGGCCAAATGCCTACTCCTGTTCCTAAATTGTAAGTCCATACAGATTGTAGCCATAAAAACAGAAAGAACTACAGATGCTGTAAATCAGGAACAACAAAGTTGTTGGAAAAGCTCAGCAGGTCTGGCAGCATCTGTGAAGGAAAAAACAGAGTTAACATTTCTGGTCCGGTGAACCTTCCTTAGTTCGGAGGAAAGGTCACCAGAGCCAAAACGTTAACTCTGTTTTTTGCTTCACAGATGCTGCCAGACCTCCTGAGCTTCTCCAGCAACTTTGTTTTTGTTCCGGATTGCAGCCATGGTCTTTTTGTATATTACACTGAGCTGGATAGAATCAGCTGCACCTTCTATACCTCATTCTACTATCTCTATGTCTCATTCTACTTTCCCTGGAACACATTCTGGCTCACTTTAAAGCCAAAAGGTATAAGTAATTTGTACCATCCAAAATCTTTGCTGCATGTTGCCAACAGTGAATATTCTTCATCAACCTTCACGTTCCAGTAACCATTTTTAGCATCAAGCTTGCTGAAGGTTTTTGCCCTGCCACTGTGTGCGATCTACTGAAGTGTTGGAACAGGGCAGAGATGACTTTTCATTGTTTGATTAAAAATCTTTGGGTTCCAGGCAAATTCATCGCCATCCATTTTACTTCTCTCACCCTAATGGAATTTACCTAATTGGTAGGTTCAGTAACTGCAGCAATCTTTCTTTTCCTCCATTTCTTGAAGCTCTCTTTCAACCTTTCCTTTTTGTCTTTTGGTAATTCATGTGGAGATCCTTGCTGGATCCATACTGATGTGGTACTCAAAATCTTCAAAGCATGCAATTGTTCTTTAAAACACTTTGGATACAAACAGACGCAATCTTTCTTGCTTGTGATTAGGGAATGCTTTTAAATGGATTTATTAACTTTCAAACTCTGCTATCACCTTCAGTTCATGGTATAAAAGATCAATCACAGCTCATCAACTGCTCAACCCCAGGATAGTAGGATCTGTTTTGGTGATGTAGATTGTACAACTAATGTCATTTTCTTTGTACACTTCTCTAATTCAATTCCATTGTATACCATCAGCATGATTACTTGGTTTTAGACCATCTTTCTTGGGGTAATCATTTTCTTTCAAACTTTCAGGCATGAGCTTCTTATAGGAGTTGGACAATGTTATTCAGTGTTTCAGCATAAAGTTTTAGCTTCAGATTTATGGTTATGGCCTGATTTTTCACCTTCTTCCTGACCTGAATGGTTATGAGCATTTATTTTTTCTGTGAACTATCAGATCTAGATATTTATTTTAGATGCACAAATCCTATTTCTATGGTTTTCTCAAATTCACTGTCATTTTCCACGTGTTACGATCGGGTGAATATGGATAGCATGCTCCCCACTCCTTACTTGATTGCCCTATGTTTTTTAAAAAGGATATACACAATCAATGTAAAGACACAAACTAATAGGTTTTAATTTTTTTTAAAGATGAAAAGAGCATAGTTTTTATTGTGCTTAATCCAGTCAAAGCAAAAATTAATAAAAAGACAAATATTCACATGCACTCAAGTTCACACATAATAGTACATTGTAGAGTACAAGCACAAATTAAATGATTTTTTTTAAGGTTTTAAAGAATAAAATGCTATGGTTTTCCTAGGTTGATGACTTGGATCAAAGTAAATGGGGTGGCTCTATTGCTCACTGTCAAGATGGCTTAACAATGTAGAATAATGATTTATTGGCTCTTTTTGGAGATTGCAGGTGCTGATTTTAAACAATTACTGAAATTGCTGGAGAAACTTAAAAGGTCTCGCAATGTTTGCGGAGAGAAGGTAAAGTCAATGCTTTCATCCAGTGATCCTTCATCTCTCTACAAACGCTGAAGTCTTGTTGAATTTCTCCATCAATTTCTGTTTTTGTTTCAGAGTTCCAGCGTCTCCATTTCTTGGTTTTTTTAAATGCTGGGATGAATCCTTCAAAAGTATTTCTGCCCTTGTCACATACACAGTCAAAAACAGCAGACAGAGTTTGAACTTGTTTTAATAAGAAGGTGGGAACAGGGAGATTTACATTGTGGATCTTCTGTGCTGTTTGCTTCCAGACTGGTTTGTTCGTTCTGGTTCTTGGGAGTAGGCAAGCTTGGTTATCTGAAGTAAGTTTCAATCATGTGACCACCTGATTAATACTTCCATTATCCACATAAATGAATTGAAATTGGACGTCCTTACTAGACAATAGGGAATCAATAATGGCAATCCATACCTAGTTACTGTAAATTGATTTCCTTAAAGCTCTTATGTTTATGGATTGGAGACAGTGAGTCGATGAATTTTGAGTTTTGATAAGTCCATAAACAATAGATAGTATGTATTCCATAGATGGTTTTGTCTCAGCATGTCCCTTCACTTCATTATGGCTGGTGCTGTGCACTCATTGTTACAGTTATATGCTCATTGCCTTGGTGGTGGCCACTCAGCTTCACACTTTTTGGTCTTTCACAGGAACCAATATATAATGTTTGGGAATTACTCACAAACGTCTACTGCTATCCTATTGTCTTGTTGTACCCATAAGTTTGAAATAATCATCACAAATAGTGGAGCTTACATGGAATGTATTTCCAGTTCTCTCTCCATATTCTGTGGAAAGAACACACTGTTGCTTTGGCACAGTTGTGATCCATCCTGGATTCTGATGTACACATTCAGATAAAAATCTTATGTAAGAATTTTTAATACATTGTTAAACTCAACAAAGGCCGTTCTTTAGCTCTACAAATTGAGTTCTGCCTTCATTCATTTTCTGCAACAATAAGACTCCATCTAGCTGGTTAACAGCTGATAAAAGAGAAAAAAAATGCACTGTCCACAAATGGTGGCATTTTGAATTCTAAGGAGCCATCACTTCCAGAGGATCATGTGCTGGATGTCTTAAGAAAACAAAGGTGAATAAATCTCCAGGATCTGATTAAGTGTATTCCAGGACATCATGGAAAGTTAGGGAAGAAATTACAAGGCCCCTACTAGAAATATTTGTATGGTCTATAACCACAGGTGGGATGCTGGACAACTGGAGCATGACTAACGTTGTGCCTTTATTTAAGAAAGGCTGCAAGGAAAAACTTAGGAATTATAGACCTGTGAGCTGACATCGGTGGTGGGGAAATTATTGGAGGTAATTCTGAAAGATAGGATTTACGTGCATTTGGAGAGGAATGGACTGAATAGGGATAGGTGGCATGATTTTCTGAGGGAAATCATGTCTGGTACACTTGATTCAGTTTTTTGAGGCAGTAACAAAGAAAACTGTTGAGGACAGAGTGGTAAACGTTGTTTACATGGACATTAGAAAAGCCTTTGACAAAGTTATGCATGATCGACTAATTGGTAAAGCTAGATCACATGGAATTCAGGGTGAGCTTGCCAATTGGATAAAAAATTGGCTTGATGGCAGGAGACAGAGGGCGATGGTGGAGGATTATTTTTTGGGCAGGAGGCCAGTGACCATTGACATTCCACAGGAATCTGTGCTGGGTCCACTTTTGTTTGTCATTTTTGTAAACGGTTTAGTTGAGAATATAGGAGGCATGGTTAGTAAGTTTGTGGATGACACCAAAATTGGTGGCATAGTGGACAGTGAACAAGATTATCTAAGATTACAAAGAGATCTTGATCAATTAGGTCAATGGGCTGAGGAGTGGCAGATGGAGTTTAATTTGGATAAATGTGAAGTATTGCATTTTGTTAAAAACAATCAAGGGCACGACTTATACAAATGATGGTAGGGCCCTGGGTAGTGTTGTAGAACAAAGAGAGACATAGGGATTCAGGTACATAGATCTGTGAAAGTTACACCACAGGTATATAGGGTGGTTAAGGTGGCATTTATCACACTTGCCTTTGTTGCTCAGACCGTTGAGTACAGAAGTTTGGATGTCAAGTTGAGGCTGTACAGATGTTGGTGAGGCGTCTTCTGCAATAGTGCGCGCCCTGGTCACCCTGCTATAGAAAAGGATACTATTAAATTGGAGAGGATTCAGAAGAGATTTGCCAGGAATGGAGGTTTGAATTATAAAAATAGACTGGCACTTTTTTCACTGGAGCATGGGAGGTTGAGGGCTGACTTTATAGACATTTATAAAATCGTGAGGGGCATGACTAAGGTGAATAGCAAGGGTCTTTTCCAAAGGGTGGGTGAGTTCAAAATTAAGAGGCATATTTTTAAGGTGAGAGGAGAAAGTTTTTAAAAGAATACACGGTGCAACTTTTTAAAAAAAAATACAGAGTGCGATTCATGTGTGGAATGAACTGCCAGAGGAACTGGTGGACGCAAGTACAGTTACAACATTTAAAATACAATTGGATAAGTAAGTGAACAGGAAAGGCTTGGAGGGATATAGGCCAAATGCAGGCAAGTGGGACCAGATTAGTTTGGCAACATGGTCAGCATGGACTAGTTGGACCAAACGGTCTGTTTCCATGCTGTATGACTCTGACTCTACCATGAATTTATATTTGCTTTAAAACATTGAAACTCTAGCCCCTTATCATTTATTGATACCCAGAGAAGCCACTGTATTAGTTGCTTGCCTCATTGTGGAGCAATTAAATAACTATGTTCTTTCAGTGAATTGCTGATCTTGAGATTTGTAATGCAAGCTTTTCTCTGTAACAAGGTGAAAACATGCAGGTTGCAAATTTGTGGTTGCAATTTTCAGTTGTGATGTTTCTTTCAAGTGATGCTTATAGGATACTATCATGTGGTTTGGCTTGACTCCCATCTTTAACAGTAGTATGCAGGAGACAACATAGTCACTAGTGCCCCTGGTGTGTTAGCCTTTATGTGTCATCAGCATGGAGCTGTGTTTAGCGTTCTTGTGAAATCTGCATGGGTCTACCAAGTTTGGGTACAAATGTCAAATCAGATGCTTGAAATAAGACCAATTAGAAAAACTAAAAATATAATCAAAAAGAACACTTACAATTTCTCACAGGACTTGTCTCAAGTGCATTGCACAAGACAAATCCTACAATAAAATCTATTACTTGAGACTCATATCTTTTCATTTTTGTGTCCTTAACTGTACATTGCAAGGAAAAAGAACTGTTTATAAATAAGAAAAGTATACACCAATTTGGCTGCACAGTCACAGGGTCAGAGCAAAGCGGCAGGTGGACTGGGGCCCAGTGCGGTCAGCCTGTCGCAGATCTTGAGCCCAATAGTGTCGGGAAAGCGAGACCATGTGTAGACAGCTCACAACATGGAGAGTCTACAGGCTATAGAAGGACTTAACATTTATCTTCTAACTTTATTTCTTTATCTTCCTAATTTATACTATGAAGAACTGTAATGTAGAACTTTTAGCTTTTCTCCATTTCTCTATTTTTGTACCTAATCTATTTTAGTACCTAAGATTTGTACCCAGGTTCTTTGTACTTAAGATGGCACCTTGTGTGGCAACACTGTACACATTTCACCATACTCCTGTACTTTATACTTGAGTACATGTCACAATTAACCTAATTCTAATGTCACAACATGGAACTCAATAACTATTGTCAACTACAATTAAAGCTAATTGGTTCTCAGCTAATTCAGCAGGTTGGAACTAAATACAAGTTAGAGAGAGAGATATAGAGAAGGATGCGCTGGTGTTCTCCCCAGCAGAAGTTGCCTGTTCTCTGCAGTAAAACCTCAGGTTAAACTTGAAGAAAACCAATTATCAAGAGCTGAGACGTTTCAATTGATAAATCAGAGACACTTTCCAAGTAAATCAGTTGTCTATACTTCTCGTAAACCAGTGGAAGCTTTGGGAGAAAGACAACTGAACACCAGAGGCCTAGCGAGTAGAAGGAGGACCATTTGAAATTTGGAATCAGGAAGCGATGATGACCAAAAATGACATTCCAGATTTTTTTTTAAATCTCTGCCTATAATCTATTTTCCCCATGTGTCTGTGCCCTTTAAGGAAGATTTTATAAAGGAATTAGAGATTTAGCTAATGTTTTATGCCAATGATTTCTATCTACTTATTCGTAGCTATAGTCCAATTACTTACAACGAAAATTCTTGTTTACTGCAGAAATCTGGTCTGTGCTTTCTTCCAATCTTGGTCTGAAAGTCAGGTAAATATGCTTACCTTAAAAAAGTTAATATTTGGTAAGACCTGGGGAGTAGCAGGGCTTGATTTATAGTGCAATATCCTGTGGAAAATTCCGTACTGTTAGCATATTTCTGCATTGCCAAACAGCTGTTCAGTCAATTGGCTGAGGTTAACTTGAAGGTCTCCCCTTCTCAATCCCTCCTTCGTTAGAAGTGTGGCGACTCCAGGTTAAACTACCACCAGTTGTCTATCGCTGATTAGAGAGGTGCCCTATGTTCCTCTGGGACAATGTTACTTTTACCTAAATGGTAATAGATAACGAGAAGACTGCATTCCAGCAATCTAAGTTGGAATAACACTTGGATCCTGCAGAGCTGAAAAGCCAGTAATGCTGAAGTCATTAATAAATTCACAAAATCTGCTATAACCCCAAGTTACAGTCAACATAATATTGAGAAGGAGTCTAGAAATTTACTTAATGTGAATTATCACATAGCATAATCACTGAGCTAGCAAAAAACTGGTTTTACTTAGAAAGAAAAGAGTATAATATCTCACCAAATAAAGGACCAGCCTTTATAACAAATCACAGATATGGTGCAACAAGAGCATGTTTTAAATGCCAAACCAGCAATGCCATAATGCCAGCAATCATAAACCTCCTGACATCAATGGGTGGTCCTCATTAAAAATGTGTTTTGTATGCATTAGAAGGTCTGTTAACCTTATATTTACAATCCTCTCTGTCATCTGCTCTAACTTAATTTAGATTTTTTTAGGCTGAACTATTTTATCTCGGAGATGTTGACTTCAGGTGCCCTTGGATAGAAGTACTGAAAATATACACGAGCTCTCCCAAATTCCAGAAGACTTGATCAGAGCTGTTGGATCCCTAACAGAACTCATAAGGGTAGTAACTGTTCTAGGGGATTTGAGCTGTCATCCTTTCACATTCAAGTTATCATTCTCTTTCGTCAAACACATGCCAACAAGTTACAACTTTACAGTTATCTAATTATTAATGGCAAATAACCCCAACCAAAACCAAATGGATTAAATTTGAAACTGTTTGGAAGCCAGCAATTAGACAAACTTCACAGCACAAGCAATTTGTCACATTAAAACAGTCTTCACAAAGTATTAAAAAACTCAGAAATTTCTGGAAAAACACAGCAGGTCTGACCGAGTTAACAACACCGTTCTTCAGAATTGGAGTTCTGAAGAAAGGTCACTGGACCTGAAATGTTAACTCTGTTTTCTCTCCACAGATGCTGCTAGACCTGTGTTTTTCCATCAAGTACATTCAGATAAACTCGATTCAACTTAAATAGATTATATTCAATGAGACATTTTGATCTCATGTTGTTAGTTAACAGCCAAAGAGTTATCACAGCCAATTTTAATAAAGACATAAACTGTCAAAATTCTTTGATTACTGCAACAGTTTTCTGTTTGCAGAAAGAAATCTAGCTCATGTAAGAGCTTGCTGACAATTTAAATAGTTTACCTATAGATAAACGTCTTACAAGTTTATTGGGGAGAGTGGGGAAAAATAGAGATGATCAGTTGCCTCAATGGGGTCACACAATTAGAACAATGGTTAAAATAGAGTAAAATACCATGGGTAAGAAACAGCATAAAAATTCCAGTTTAAAATCACCTCTAAATTATCATTCAATTTTATTTAAAACACCAAATATAAACCTGGAAATTTGAAATACACACAAGCACACATTTTTCTTCAAAACAACGTGTAACTGTGGAACTATTGCTAAAGAGCATTGAAAAACATGATTGTAAAAAAGTGCATCTTTAAAGGCATACATTTTCAAATCGACCTCAATATGATAACACTGATCTCACAGTTGGTTACCAATAGTTCAGATCTGTGGAGAAAAAAAATTCAAAATGTTAGCTTGAGTGCATAACACAATAGACTGCCACTCTAAGAACACCACTAATGTCATTAAAGCTTTGCACATGGCAGAGTCAATGGTGTTATTGCGACATGGGAGAAAGTAAGCTTGTATTCCTGCTTCAGTTATTTATTTAGGACAGGGCTAGTTTTCTGTAAAGAAGCTAGATTCACTGATAACTCAAACACATTGATCAGTTACTGGCATCATTTTAACATCAAAATATATATTTTTAAATTACCAAACAACAGACTCTTTCTGATAATAGCTCAGCCAAGACCAAATAGATTGAAGAGTCATATTACTTACATTTGGATATTCTGCCTGCTTCCAGCAGTTACCAGTGTAGGCACAGAACTACCCTGCAGTGCAGCACTCAAAGCCATTGACAGAAATAAATTGTAGAATAGAAACAGATCATTTAGATTTGACATCAATTGTGGTCCTAATTCTGTTGGCCTGCTCTGTTCTTACGTTCTTTTAACAAGCTTTCCACTGCTTTCAAACACTTACCTAAACCTATTCTTAAATGTTGACATAGTCTCTATTTAATCACCAATTCTGGTAGTGTTTTTCCCAACAGGCTTTCCCAACACAATATCCTAATCTGCTGCATTTAATCTTGTATCGAGCTCTGGGCCTCTCAAATCACTGGGAATGCTTTAATTCTACCAATTCATGATCACTCCTTCATATTTTAATACCTCTAATCATCTGTCAATCTCCACAATTCTAACTAAAACAGAACCAATTTTCCCCCAGTGCTTTAAAATCCATATTTCTTCATAGTAAGCATTATCCTGAACAATTGCCATAATATTCTGACAATAGCTTGGAACTCAAACTGTATACAAAGTTCAAAGCACTGTATGCAAAACCTTGGCAAGTCCATGTAAAAGCTGATATCATGTAAAAGTCTACCCTAAGATTTCTGGCCTAAAAAAAACTTTTGCTTTTGTACAAACTTCAAGTAAAATTGACTACTTTTTCAGAGACCGAAGCCAAAAATTTCAGAACCAAAGTATAATCTCTACAATTGCACCAAAAACCTCAGTTAATCTTTAATTCGACAGGTATCACTTACCATACAACCAGCTATACCTACTTGTCAGTTAACATAGGAAGCATGAATATCAGCTTTGAATTTTGGGGGCAAGAAATTGATAGTGAAAAATAAAATGGGATACAAGGACCAACTTCCAGAGCAAACATTAAAATAAATGTAAGCTAGGCTCTTCCATCCTGAAGCATCGCCCTCAGCCTTCTTAGGGAGGGGAGGCTCAGATCTTGCTAATCAGACCCTTGCAAGTACTGACTTGGTGCAAACATCCTGCAAAGGTTAGGTCAAGGACTGAGAACTATCAGTGGGACATCTAACAGCGCAGCCCTTCCTCGTCTTTCCCTAGCCCTCAAGTAGCATTGAAATAGCAGGTACAGCTGCTACTACCCCTACACCTCAGAAGAGGAGAAGCAGGATCTTTAATAAAACAGAGAAAGAGAAAATAAACTGCTATTAGTTTGAGCAGAGATTCAAACAGGAGTACAGTGCTAGAAGTGTTAGCAACTCTCTAGATATCTAGAATCAACTTTGAGCAGTCCTGGTTCAACTGGAAACTGACATTACGCAGTCATCTGCCCATAAAATTTACTTACGGTGGTGATAAGATCCAGTGGGTCATAAGGGGATGTGCCTAGCCTTTCAAGACCATCTTTTAGATGATTTCTTAGTTCTTCATAATTAGGCTCCTCATCATATTGTAGGGACACGACATGTTGAAAATATTTCTTCAGTTCTTCTGTAAATTAATACAATTAACTTAAAAATGAGGATAAGGGAACATAACATTACACACAAATATCTAATTATTTCAGAAACACAACTTTTACGTTTAAATAAATGTCTTTCAAGTTTGGGAAAAAAGCTTAGCCAACTTAAATAGCACATTTAACAGAATAAAACATCTCAAGGCAGAAAATAAATTAGGGGTCAGAATACCAAAAGCTTAAAGTGGTAAGTTTTGGTCAATGTTTTAAATGAAGCAGAGACATAGTTTAGTGGGAATTTAATGGGAACAGCAGGTAGGTTTCATGAATAAGATGAGCAAAGAGAGGGCATGAGGGGAAACAGAAAAATGAGAATTCAAACCAAGTCTAGGGCTAGGGGTAGCTACAGTGGTGGTTTGGGACTGAGGCACAGGGCAAAAGCAGCTCACACTTATTCCACACAATGTCAAAAAAGCTAAAACATTTATGCGCCAATCTACACTGAACTAGGTTTGACATGACTACACATCGATGAGTGGATATTGTTTTAAGAGGAGAGCTTGGTACTTCAGTTTTAATTGACGCAAAGTACTCAAATATTATGAAATGCAAAAATACATTATGAACAAAAAGGTGCAATTTTGGGGAGGACAAACTTTGAAGGAATCAAAGTACGGAGTTAAACATAAAACAATACAAAGAAATGGATTAAAGGCAAAACCAGAGCAAAACTATAAACAAAACACAAACGGAAGAGCTCTGATGAATTGAAGAAACTTAATCAGTGATTAACAAATGGATGAATTCTTGCTTTGAGATAGATAAAACCTACAATTGGCAGAATATTGCAGATTAAAGAAAGTAGGTGATTGACTGCACATTGAAGGAAAACTAAACAGTTATGCCATAAATGTTTTGAAATTGAAGAAGTTGAAAGGAGATCCAAGTGTCTCTGTAGGCTTGATGCTCAACATTCAAACCAACACTGAACAGTAACTGATAAAGCTAATACAATGGTGAACTTCACAAACAAACCAGTAGATCGAGAGGCAAGAAACATTAAACATACTGCATCTAGATCGAATCAGACCATACTTTGGAAACAGAATCCAATTCTTTTCACCATGACCCGAGAGTAACATTTGAAGACATGAGGACTCCATGAGGTAGGCAGGACAGTTAATGGACAATTACTCAAATTATGCTTGCTGTTTGAATCTACGACAATTGTTTTCAGAGGGCAGGAAGTATTGGAGGTACTTCTGATACAATCTTAAATCTGCATTTAAATAAAGTGCATGGGTTGAGAGTTTCACTGGCAAAGCCAACATTTACCGCCCATCCCTAATTGCCCTTCTACCTTTTTGAACCGCAACAGTTGCTGGTTAGGAAGAGGTTTCCAGGAATTTTACCCCATAACAGTGAAGAAAACATGATATATGTCCAAGTCAGGATGGTTTGTGGCTTGAAAGGGAATGTGCCGATGTGGTTCTTCCAAGCATCAGCCGCCCTAGGTGGCAGAGGTTGTGAGTTTGGAAGGGGCTATCTAAGGAGTTATGATGAATTGCTGCAGCACACCTTGTACCTGGCGCATTGGCTGCAGCCAATGTGATGAAGAAGGTGAAGAAACTGAATCTGGAAAGTAATGGATAGGGTGCCGTCCAAGCAGATTGTTTTTGTTGAAACTGCATTCATTAAAGCAATTGGAGAGTATTCTATGACACAACAGACTTGGTGTCTTGTAGGTGGTAGTCAAGTATTAGAGAGCCAAGAGGGGAGTTATTTGCCAAAGAATTCATAGCCTCTGACCTGCTGCTGTAGCCACAGCATTTAATTTGCTATCCTGATTCAGTTTGAGGTCAATGCCAAATCTAAGGTGATGAGTGTGGAAGATTCAGCAATGGTAATATGCCAGTTAACATCACAGGGAGATGGTTAGATTCTGTATGTTGGAGATGGTCATTGCCTGGCACTCATGTGGTGTGACTTATTAGCCCACACCTGGATATTGTCCAGGTGCTGATACATATGGATACAGGCTGCTTCAACATCCAAGTTGAAAATGGGGCTAAACACTGTCCAGTCAAACATCCCCACTTCTGACCTTATGGAGGGAAGATACTGATGAAGCAGCTGAAGGCAGTATTGTCTTACTTTGCATTGGGCATGACTCCAACCAGTGCAGGTATTTCCCAAATTCCCAGATTCCAGTGTTCCTAGAGCTCGTCAAGAGCAATCTTTTTCACCTCATCTTTGGGCTTCAGCTCTTTTGTCTGTGATTCGACAAAGACTGTAAAGAGGTCAGGTGCTGAGTGACTCTAGCAGAAACCAAACCAAGTGTCAGTAAGCAGGTTATTACCATGCCTCTTGATAGTATGGACAGTGACCCTTACGTCACTTTCTTGATAAGAGTAGACTGACTGGGTAGTAACTGGCTAGCTTGGACTTGTCCTATTTTTGTGGACAGGATATACCAAGGCAATTTTCCACTTTGCCAGCTAGATCAGTGTTGTAGCTGCTCTGGGAACACCTGGTCAAGGGGTATGGCTAGGTCTTGAGCACAAGCCTTCAGTACTATTGCTGGAATGTTGTCAGGATTTAAAGTTTTTGCAGTATCCAATGCCTTTACCTGTTTCTTGATACCAAGTAGAGTGAATCAAATTGAGTACAGACATCTATGATGAAAGGGACCCTCAGCAAGAAGCAAGATGAATCATCAACTCAACATTCCACCTGAAAATGGATGTGAATAATTCAGCCTCATGTTTCACACTTAAGTGCTAGGCTCTCCCATTGTTGAAGATGGGGACATTTGTGCAGCCTCCTACCCCTGTTAGTAATTTAATTGTCTACCACCATTCGTGACTGGATATAGCAGCACGGCAGAGTTCTGCAGCCCTGCCATCATTATTCTAAATGGAAAGATAATGTTGCAGCATCTGTACAACCAGTGCCGAAATTGGTTTAAAAATGGAGTGAGATGCAATCCACACAAAGGATTAGTAGTTATTAGTCAATTTAAGAACTATTCTAGTGTAAAGTAGCACTGACTAAGGGTGTATTTGGTAGCTTAAAAGAAAAAGAAACAAATGGAACAATTCTTTCTACACCCAGAATTCAAGCTTGTTTCCCTTGAAATAGAGAATAAAATACCAAAGGGGCATATAGATTTGGCTTTTCCAGTTTATTGCAATACAGATTGCAGTTATGCTGAGGGTGGGGTTAACAAAGCAACCAACCAAGAGCCACGAACATAGTGCTTTGCCAAGGTTAGATAAATCTGTGTAAATTAATAGCACACTGGAGATAAAGCGCTCAAGTATTCACAATAAAGACTCTTTCCACTTCTAATGAAATTTCATTTGAGTACCAATAAATTCAAGGAATGCCTATTAGTAAGGTCAACTTTTGATCCAACCTCCACCAAATTATAACATAGGAATATAGCAGGAATAGGCCATTCAGTTCTTTAAATTTGCTTGGTCACTCATGTAGGATCTGGTTGTGCTCTCAACTCCATTTTTCTGTATGCCTCCATTCACCTTGAATTTTGATACGCAAAGAGTCAATGTAACTCAGTCTTCAATAAATTCAATGTTCCAGCCCCACTGTATTCTGGGGAAGTGCATCTGCTTACTAACAAGCCTCAGGGAAATTAAAACATCTTCAGATCAATCTTAGAAGTCAGACCTCTCCTGCTTTATTTGTGGCCCCTAGTTCTTGTCTCCCCCACAAGAGGGAGCATTTCCAGGGATCCACCCTTTGAAGCCCCAGCAATAAAGATCACCTCTTAATTTTTCTAAACTCTAATGAATACGGGCTGTACTTCTTCAACCTTTATTCAACAGGTAAATCCCTCAATCCAGCAATGAATTCAGTGAACATTCTCTGAACTGCTTCCAATGCACATATTCTTTTTCAAACAAGGAGACCAAAAGTGTACACCATACTCTAGATGTGATCCCACCCATTACAGCTGCTAAAAAAACCTGCCTATTTTTATATTCCATTCCCCTTACTATAAGAGGCACATGTTCCATTTGCTTTCCTAATCATTTGTATCCACGTATTAATTTTCTGCGATTTCTGTATCAGGATACCCAGATCCAAGGAACCACAGAGCTCTGTAATCTCTTCATTTAAATAGTAAACTTATTTTCTGTGATGTCTGCCAAAGCGGACAAGTTCACATTTTCTCACTTTACATCAGCCAAACTTTCACCCCTTTCCTTGACTAATCTAAATCCTTTTGCAAATTTGCCAGTTGTCCTCCATAGCTTAATTTCCTACCTATCTTGGTGTCATCAAGTTCAGCATCCATACGTTAGGTCCATTCATCCTAGGCATTGATAAAGCTATAAGTAGGCAAGGTTCCAGCTCTGATCCCCAACATGCTCCTTTAGTTCTAGTTTACCAACCACAAGACTCATTTATCTCTACTCTCTGGTTTCAGCTAGTGGACTGACCCTTTATTGCTAATACGTAATCCCTAAACCATGTGCTATTGTGTAGTAATCTTTGATGCAGCATTTTATTAAATTTCTTTAAGAAATACAAGTACACCACTTCTCCAGGATCCCCTTTATCCACTTTGTGTTGTTCTCTCAAGGAGCCCTAAATAGAGTCAGAGTCATAACAAGTTTTCCTTTTATCAAGCCATGTTGACTCAGAAAATCAATTATGATCAGGCAAAGTACACTTTTAATGATGAACCCTAATAATTTCCTTATGATAGATATTAGGTTGGTGTTGTTACTGCAAATATTGTACTACAAAACTTGTGAAATAATTTGGGATCTTTTGCTTATGGTAACCAGGCACTATATAAAAACAGGCATTCTTTATACCATGAAGAAAAGTACATTCAGTTTTAAGTTATTTAGGGAAAGAAATATTAGAGTTTCTGTTGTGTGAAGTGTGATCTAATCAAATGGATAAAAGGCTTAGCTTGTGCTGAGTTAGCATTCAGCAGGACAATAGAATTAACCTTGGTATTCCTCGTAGTACCTGCATGGCGAAAGCGGTTGGAAGCCAATCTAGCTTTTGTCTGTCAGAAGTCAGTAAGGTTCAAGCAGAACATAAACACTTAGCCATGGGCAGTCAGATTATAACCCCTGAAAGGGTAAACAACTTCAAGAAAGTTGGGAGAAAACCCAACATAAGCACACAGCTTAAATTCAGACTGTACCACAACATTAACATAAATACTAAAGTAAATGGAAATTTTAAATGGGCAGATAGAAGGTTTTAATTTAAGTGAGATTCTACAAATTTCAAGTCCTGAACCAGGCAAGTAGATCCAAGAGGAGGGTATTGTGCAAAGTGCAACAGAAGATCAAAGAATGACAGAAGACTTTTCAGAGACTTCTACCCTGTTGAAATTGATTCAATCACAAGATGGAAAAGAGTAGTTCACATAGATTTGCTCTCCATGTGCTTCTTAATTAAAATATTCATTGCAAATTCCTCAGCAATATGGTAAAGACTGGGAGAATTCCATCTGCAAGCTTGTGGATACAAACAGTCACTGTTGGTAAGTCACATTTACCAAGATCATCTGGAAATGTACACTGAGACACTTAAAGCATGCATTATTGGTTCCTTGGTCTGCAATGGATTCTGACAACAAATATGTAATATGCAAACTGTCCAAATAACTGAAAATTAGATATAAAATCTAGGTTCAAAATTTGACAGGCTTTGCAGCATTTTACTTGAACATTACTGAATAATAAATCATTAGTTTACATACTTCCATTTTTATTTAGTTTTAATAATCATAATTAGAACTTTGTAAAAACCGAACGAACCGCAGAACTGCTGTAAATCAGAAATGAAAACAGAAGTTGCTGGAAAAGCTCAGCAGGTCTGGCAGCATCTATGAAGAGAAATCAGAGTTAACGTTTCAGGGTCCAGTGACCCTTCCTCAGAACAGTATTAGAACTAGAACTCTGGTTTAGCCACAATATTCTTTCCTCCACTCCACCACCACCCTTCCCCAAAAACATTAATAATTGGAAGAAAGGGGTCCAGTTAGCCAAAAGTCAATTATGCACACCAAAAACTTAATTTGGAAATCTGTTTTTACGTTAAAATATTCCCATTACATGAAAGCAAAGGCATGAATTCATGAGGATTTAATTTGCTTGGATTGGATAAAATATATTAAGCAACATATGGGCCTTAAACTCTAAATTGATCTTACCTGGAAACTTCCTTTTCCCAAAACAGTATTTGAAAAGACTTGGTAGGTCAGCTTTGTACCTAATAAAGAAACCCTAAAAACTAGTAAATCAGTTTTAAAATTTAGTCCATATTATAAATATTAATGTCTGCAAAAGAATCTTGTTTGGCACATCAAACACGACACATACATTGGTCTCAAGTGTGGAGAAGCAAAAGTAATTTCTGCAGCAAAAAACTATTCAAGAACATATAATACCAGAGAGACAGTTTTTGCAGATTTTCATGTAACCTCTCTCAATATTGGGGTTCTGATCTCCAGTCTGAAATACAATTAATCTTTGAACTCACATTGAAACACAAAGTTTGTGTCGTATTTTGTAGCCCCACATAGGGATCCTTCACTTAAGCAAAATAACAGAATATTGCTGAATAAAGTCATTTTGTCAAAGCTTTTCACCTTGCACTCATCAAAACAATTTGCAAGAATTCCTTTAAGAGTGCAAGACAAAAGACTTGAACAAAACACACTGCTTTTCAGCAATACTCAAGTTCTGCACTGCCAAATGACGATATAAATTGTTCTGTGTCTCGTTAATTAACACATTCTCTGATTTATTGTGAAGACCATAGAAAATTTCCAGGCTTAGACAAAATAAGGTCACATTAAAATATAGCCCACAACCAGAAAAATGTTTAAAAGTACAATCTACAAGTCTTCGGTCTACTCTAATGCAGTGCTGCGCTGATGGATTACCTTTAATAAAAAGATAGTGTGGGGGAGGTCTCTCTATCTTTATGCCAAGAAAAATTCCTGTTAATTTTTTAACAGTCCAAAGGCAGACAATATGGCAAACCGGAGATTGCCTTGCCAGTTCTCTCTCTTGTAGATCCTCCATTTATCAGCTGAATTTCTTTAAGCATTCTTGTCTGTTGTCATTTCTATAAAGTATTGCCAATGCATTGAAAATATTTTCTAACAGAAGTCTGTGCGTAAAGTGCTTGAGGTTCAATTGGAGGATTTACCTCGAGATTCAATTAACGCATTTAACTTCATTGATGATTGATGTCTTAACTCCTCCAGATTGCTGAAATTCTAAATCAACTGCAAAGTAACATTAAGGCTGCCTCCCATTAGGGCTAATGCATAATTCAGGAGTGGATGTGCACAACACAGCAGGTTTTTGTTAAATTAAAATGACTGATAGCAAGACAGACCAGAAATTAAGAGTTAGTCATTCATGGCAAAAGACGACCATTTGGCCCATCAAATCTGTGCCAGCTCTCCATGGAGAAATCAAAACTGTCACACCTGTCTATATGTGGCACTCCCCTGGCCCTGACTTGGTTATTCTGGTCACCATCCTCCTCCCTAATTAGTAGAACAATACTACAAGTTAAAAAGAAACAAATTTGGAGAGAGTAGCTGAACATTTTAAACATGAACTTCATCAGAACCAAAGCCTATAACACCATATTGAAATATTTGTCACCTTCAGCAACTGCATAATTTTCAAGCACTATAAGCAATGACAGTATATTTTTATTTCAGTTTAAAATTATTTTACTCCTGCTTTTCAGTTTCTCACAAACTCCAAGTCAGATGATTTCCTACTTTAGCCTGAGCAATACTTGGCCCATGAAACTAAATTGCAGAACAACAAGCAGAAACATTTCTTGCATTCATCTGAAATTCCTCCTTTGCTATTTGAGTAGACAATTCAACCATTTTGTCAAAAAAAGCAATTCACACTCCTGCTAAAATAGCAGAGGTATTTCAGGTGAACACGTTAAACATTTATAATTGTTCCATTGCGACTTTCGAAGCCTCTAAACAAAATGCTGAGAAGAGGAGGAAGAATGGGATGGGTGGATTGGGGTAGGCGCACAATGCACTGACATCAGCCAAAGTAACTATTCCAATCCCTTAAACGTCAATGTTTTGGATGTTAACTGTCAAATTCTAATTTTGCACCAAGTTTCACATTCGAAGAAACATTTGATTTACCAGGATCCTTTTTAGGAACAACTTAAAGACGTTAACTTTATAAATAAATAAAAAAATTGTATCTTCCTCCTGCACAAGACTCACCACATTATCACTTAGGGTGACAACATTGCTTTAAAATGTTTCAGGTTCCTGAATATACTGGCTTTTGAAACCTTTATCTAACCACTTTGATATTTCACCATGCCATGCTAATTTGTAAGCCACTGTGGTTTCTTCGTCAAATACTGCAATCTTAAATTTATCTGTTATTTTCCACACTCAAGTACAACTGAAGACAACTTCAAATTGCATATATGCAACATTTAGGTTGTGTGCATTATTACGTAAAGAAATATACTCACTTACTTCTGTTTTGCTTCCATGACAGAATTGGGGTAATCAATATTACCAGACCATGGCAGGGAACCACACAATGCCTTCAACATACAGTAGCCCAGAATTTCAAGATCACTACGCCTGGAAGGTCCTATAATATATACATGAATTTGTTTGCTTTCTTTGTTACTCCACAAACGATGATTAAAGAAAATACATAGGATAACAGAACTTGTAGTATTTTAGGAGGTTAACAAAGAAAAATTCAACTAAGTAATAACCTCCAAAGACGTAAGACACATCATGCGTTTAGCCTACAAACTGTAGCAAACTAAATTTCAATGAACGGACTCTATAAATATTCCTGTAGAGGAATTAACACCGCCGAACAGAGGTTCAGAAATAATCAGTTAAATACATAAGCCAAGTGCATTATGCAGGAATACCTTCCCTCGAACTATTTCGCATTGCCACAGTCTCACTGCTTATATTATTTTTTTTCTGTTATGAAAAATTATACAACAAATTACTGAAACGAAAACTAAGATTTAGCTTTCAAAGGTAGAAATCTAAAATTAAGCAAAAGCATGCTTAAATTCTGACTTTTGCTTTCAGAGTTTTCTCACGCCAGTACTTCTTTATACTCCTTATAAGGACAACTCAGGCTATTGTATAATTTCATGTGCCACATAACTACGGCAACTTGTTCAATTGACTGTAGTGTTGAATCACAGAGTAGGCAACATTATCTGAAAACCCACACACTCATTTTCCCACAAGTGTACCTGACACAGTGATTAAGTACAATCAGTTATTCGTTTTAATATTGAACCTTAACATAATAAAAAAAATTTCAAGACACATTACAGGAAAATAATCCGCTACCCAGTCATGTATGATGTTATTAGGATATAAAATCAAAAAGTTGGTCAAAGAGGTCGGATTTAAGGAACTTCTTATATGAAAGATAGAGTAGTAGAGAGATGGAGAGGTCAGATAGAATTTCAGAACGTAGGACCTTGACCTCCAAAGGTAAATGAAGTAATCCCAAATGCTCAAGGGACAAGATTTGGAGGTAGTGCAGGGATGGAGGAAATTAGAGATGGAAAGGACAAGGCCATGAAAAGATTCAAAAACAAAGATGATTGATTTTCAAAATCAATCTTTTGTTTAAATCAGAACTTGATATAGCTCAACAAGCACATGGATAATAGATAAATAGGACTTGGTTTGAGTTGAACATGGGCAGTTGGGTTTTTGATTACTTCAGGGTAAAAAAGGCCAAATATGCACCGAAATTGTTAAGCCTAGAGTCAAAGGTACAGTTGAGCTTTCAGCAATTGAGAAACTGAGGGAAGGGAGAAATCGGATGGTTACAGGGATGGAAACGTTAGGTGGTTGGCATGTGACACCCAAGTTGAAATCATAAACTGCCTGATTCAATCTTAGAGTTATCAAGGAGAGAGATGCAGAGTTAAGCAGGGACCGAAGCTAATGTCTTGGAGATCTCCGGCTCAGCCAGTAGTGATAGTCAGGCTAGTGACATGATAATTGAGAAACATTTTAACCCCTAGAAACTGCTGTGATGCTCTGCTTCACTGCTCACCTTAACATAGGAATGGCATATTGGTTTGTAATTTTAATTTGACATTACACTTCTTTTACAATCCCCTTCCACCACTTTTCTGTTACCTGAATTTGTCAGTTTTTGAATAAATCAGGTGATAAAGACAGCATATAAAAAAGGCAGTATTTTTATTCATTGGTGACTTTAGCCTTCATGTAGACTGGGATAATCAAATTGGTTGAAGTAGCCACTTGGGAGAATTCAGGTTGCATTTGGGAATTTCTTACAATGTTGTAAATCCAACCAGGGATCAGGCTACTTTGGAACTGGTGATATGTAATAGGACAGATTTAACACACAATCTCAAAGTAAAAGATCCCTTAGAAAACAGTGACTGTAATATAATAAAACTTAGTATTCAGTTTGAGAGGGAGAAACTTGGAAACAACTGTGCTAAACTTAAATAAGAAACTGGGTAGTGCTGGCTAAAGTGGACTGAGAAAGGAATTTAGAAAAGATGGTTAAGAACAATGGCAGATGTTTAAGAAAATAGTTCATGGCTCATTACAAATATATATCCAAGGAGAAAGGAGGATCTTAGGAAGGGGATAAGCCAACCATAGTTAAGTAGGGAAGTAAAGGATACCATCAAACTTAAAGAAAAAAACAAAAACAATGTAGTGAAGATTAGAAATAAGCCAGAGATGGGAAAGTTTTAAAAACCAACAAAGATAAGAAAATAAACTTTGAGGGTAAACTTGCAATAGAAATATCAAGATGAACAGCAAGAGTTATTTAAATATAAAGAAAGGAAGAGAGAGGCTAAAGTTAACATAGACTCCTTAAAGAATGAGGCTGGGGAAATAATGGGGAACCAGGGAATGACAGATGGAAGTTGAATAAATGCTTTGTATCAGTCTTCATGGTAGAGGACACTGGAAGCATTCCAAAAGTAATAAATCAAGGGGCATAAAGGCAATAGCAAACATATATAATAACTATCACTAAAGAAAAAGCAGCAGGGAAACTAATCAGTAAGGCATTATTACTATTTTATATTTAACTAATAAAATTGAATACATTTGTCTTGCATCGACACTTAGGAATCAAGATTTAGGAATCCTTTACAGAAATAATTGGGCATAACTCCCAAGCCTGCTATTTGTTCTGCAGTTCATGCAATCTTCAAGATCAACTAGAAAAAGTAGAATTGCAGGAAAAGTTGAAGGGCTGTTTGAACAACTGGCAATATAGAAATTAATACAACAAAGTTGGATCACTACATGCGAGGTCTTACCAGCTCCTTTGTGTATATCTACACTGATCAATTCAACAGTGCCCTCATGTGGGGTTCTGCTTCCTTCTCTGTATTCAACGTGTTTACCATCAGGACAGTACCTGAATGCAAAGTAGTACCCGACCAAGTATACCTGAAAAAGAAAATTCAGGGTGATTTTGCTTTACTAGATCTAGAAGTTATGCTCTTTTTTAGAACCCATCAGGCAAAATATTATGACAGATTTAAACTCTCATTCCTGAGCAGATACACTGCTGGAAGCCAAGAGAGGTTTTCCACATCTCAACGTCACAAGTCTAGGGCTCATGGAGTTGAGGATTGATTAACAGGCAAACCAGAAGAACATGTGGGACATTTTTAAGCTGGCAAGCTGTGACTAGTGGAAAGTTGCAGGGTTTACTGATAGGGCTTCAACTATTTACAAACTATATTGATGATTTGGAGGAGGAGACCAAATAACACATCTAAGTGTGTGACTATATAAAGATGGGAATGTAACAGAGGCTGCAAAAAGATAGAACATAGAACAGTACAGCACAGTACAGGCCCTTTGGCCCACTATCATCCATTCGCCTATCTCATAGCCACTTAAATGCCCCTAATGAGGCCGACTCCACTACCCTCTCCGGCAATGCATTCCACGTCCCGACCACTCTCTGAGTAAAGAACCTACCTCTGACGTCTCCCCTATATCTACCTCCACTCACTTTAAAACTACGCCCCCTCGTAATAGCTACCTCCACCCTAGGAAAATGTCTCTGGCTGTCCACTCTATCTATACCTTTGATCATTTTGTACACCTGTATCAAGTCACCTCTCATCCTTCGTCGTTCTAAAGAGAAAAGCCCTAGCTCTCTCAACCTTTCCTCGTAAGACCTTCCCTCCATTCCAGGCAACATCCTGGTAAATCTCCTCTGCACCTTTTCCAACGCTTCCACATCTTTCCTGTAATGAGGCGACCAGAACTGGACACAATACTCCAGATGTGGCCGAACCAGCCTTTTGTTTAGCTGCAGCATAACTTCATGGCCCTTGAACACAACCCCTCTATCAATGAAAACTAACACACCATACGCCTTCTTAACAACTCTATCCACCTGGGTGGCAGCTTTCAGGGAACTGTGAACATGAACCCCAAGATCCCTCTGCTCCTCCACACTGCCAAGAATCTTTCCATTAACCCTGTACTCTGCTTTCAAGTTCGTCCTTCCAAAATGAATCACCTCACACTTTTCAGGGTTAAACTCCATCTGCCACTTCTCAGCCCAGCTCTGCATTCTATCAATGTCCCTTTGTAACCTAGAACAGCCCTACGCCCTATCCACAACTCGACCCACCTTCGTATCATCCGCAAACTTACTAATCCACCCTTCCACTCCTACATCCAAATAATTTATAAAAATCACAAATAGAAGAGGACCCAGAACAGATACTTGTGGTACACCACTTGTAACTGAGCGCCATGTTGAACAATTTCCGTCCACTACCACCCTGTGTCTTCTAAGGGTCAGCCAGTTCTGAATCCAATCTGCCACATTTCCCCCTATCTCATGCCTCCTTACTTTCTGCATAAGCCTACCACGGGGAATCTTATCAAACGCCTTACTTAAATCCATGTATACCACACCCACTGCTCCACCTTCATCCGCGTGTTTGGTCACCTCTTCAAAGAATTCAATAAGGTTTGTGAGGCATGATCTACCCCTCACAAATCCATGCTGACTATCATGAATCAAACTGTGCCTATCCAAGTGATCATAAATCCTCTCTCTGAGCCCTTTCCAATAATTTGCCCACCACTGAACTAAGACTAACTGGCCTGTAATTTACAGGGTTATCCCTTTTCCCTTTTTTGAACAAGGGAATGACGTTTGCCTCTTTCCAATCTTCCGCCACTATACCCGTGGACAGTGAGGATGAAAAGACCATTGCCAAAGGTCCTGCGATCTCTTCCCTCGCTTCCCATAGAATCCTTGGATAAATCCCATCAGGCCCAGGGATCTTATCTATCTTCAAGTTCCTCAAAATTGCTAGTACCTCTTCCTTACTAACATCGATCTCCTCTAGCCTACCAGCCTGTTTCACACTGTCCTCCCCTACAACTAGGCCCCTCTCAGTTGTGAAAACCGAAGAAAAGTATTCATTAAGGACCTCTCCTATCTCTTTAGGCTCCGTGCACAAATTCCCTTTACAATCCTTGATTGACCAGAGAAAGGGTAGGGCCATTCTCTTAAATAGGTAAAAGCAGGTTAAGTGAATTGGTGGGAGTAGTCTGCTGAAATCAATCTCCACTATTCCACAAATCATTACAAATGTGAAATATAACCATTCGAGACAGTGAATTGGTCAATGCCTGACCGAGCACTATCTAAGTGAAAACAAACTTACACCAGGGGGTTTCATCATTTAAAAAAGCTTCCTTTTTCAAGTTTATCCTGTAGTATGTGGCAAAAAAAAGATTAGTTGCTAATATGCAAACTTAAACTCCTTGTAAATCAAAACATACACATTCATTCACATATAGGCCAGATAAGACAGATGAGGCACACCTTTTTATTAAAGAAATATTGTGTGTAACAAATAGAGTCAACAAGGCACAAAAGTCTGCAGAGAGTCCAACCCAAACGAAAAAGTGGTGCGAGGTGACTTTTCTCCATATTTTTATTTTTGGCGATGATATCGTGTTGTTGTTAACAGTGGCAATCCTCTATTTGGAAGCTAATCTAATTATGTGCTTGACATGAACTAGCAGTTAGATTTTGTTCAAATTCTTTGAGTGGAGAGAGCATGAGTGAGCACGTGGGAGCAGGAGCATGACCAAGAGCAACTGCAGGGGCGAAAGCAATTTAACTTACTGACAGCTTTAAGGTCTAAGTCTGAACTGCTTTCTCTCCTCTCGGTTCTGCATCAAACTGCCTCCATTACCTTGGGACAGTATTTAAAAGTCACAGCCTTCCAAGAAAATTTCTCCCCATCTGTGTCCTAAAGGGACGGCTCTTAGGTTGAAAGAGTGCTCCCCAGCAGCGCCCCCACCCCACCCCCCACCACCCACTCATTCTAGACTCAGCCACAGGAGTACTACTCCTTTCCACACCCTTGTCAAAACCAATCAAGTCACCTCTCGCTCTTCTAAACCTCACCGGAAACAAGTCCAACCTGCTCATTCTAGGCATCGATTTGGTAAATCTTATTTGAATTGTCACCAACACATGGGATACAGGGAGAACTATCCATTTGGATACATAACTGGCTCAAAGGTAGGAAATAGAGGGTGGTGGAGGAGTGTTGCTTTTCAGACAGGAGGCTTGTGACCAGTGGTGTGCCACAAGGATCGGTGCTGGGTCCACAGCTTTTTATCATTTATAATCAATGATTCGGATGTGAATACAAGACGTATTGTTAGTAAATTTGCAGATGACACCAAAATTGGTGGTGTAATGGACAGCCAAGAGGTGACTTCAGAGTACAATAGAAGTTTGATCAGATAGGCCAAAAAGTGGCAGATGGAGTTCAATTTAGATAAACGTGAGATGCTGCTTGTAAGAATTCAAAAAAGATTTAAGGATGTTGCCAGGGTTGGAATGTTTCAGCTGTAGGGAGAAGCTGAATAGGTTGGGGCTATTTTCTCTGGAGCATCACAGGCTGAGGGGTGGCCTTATGCAAGTTTATAAAATCGTGAGGGGCATGGATAGATTGAATAGCCAAGGTTTTTTCCCCAGGGTAGGGGAGTCCAAAACTAAAGGGCATAAGTTTAAGGTGAGAGGGGCAAGATTTAAAAGGGTCCCAAGCAACAACTTTTTCACACAGATGGTGGTGTGTGTATGCAACGAGCTGCCAGAGAAGTGGAGGAGGCTGGTGCAATTACAACATTTAAAAGGCATCTGGATGGGTACATGCATAAGAAGGGGTTAGATGGCGATGGGCCAAATGCTGACAAATGGACTAGATTAATTTAAGATATCTGGTCAGTACGTATGGGTTGGATCAAAGGGTCTGTTTCCACGCGGTACATCTTGACGACACAATTACATTTCGTCTTGTTATTTACAGAAGGGTGTAAAACTGCGCACAGTACAAGAGATGCAATCTCACCACTGTATTGCAGAACTTAAGCAGAACATGCAGAGACAGCAAGAACTGCAGATGGTGGAGTCAGAGTTGATAGTGTGGAGCACTATCAGGCAGGTCAGGCAGCGTCAGAGTAGGAGAGTCGATGTTTTGGGTCTCAGGGGTCCAGGCCCAAAACATCGAATCTCCTACTCCTTTGATGCTGCCTGACCGGCTGTGTTCTTCCAGCTCTACACTGTATCAATTAAGCAGAACATTGAACAACAAAAAAATTCCTCATAATAAAAGGCTAGCATTCCAATCGTCTTCTTGATTTCTTGTTATTTCTGGATACTAACCTTTAGTGACTCATGCACTAGAACATCTAGATCCCTCTGCTCCTTGGAATTCCAGTCATTCTCCACTTAAGTAATACTCTGCTCTTGCATTCTCCCTGCCAGTGGACTACTTCACATTTTCCACATAATACTCTTATCAGATTTTTGTCCACTCACTCAACCTACCTATATCCATCTGCATTCCCTAACGACATACTTTATCTATCTTTGGGTCATCAGGAACTTTAACTATCATGCCTTCACAATCCAAGGTTATTGCAGTATACCACATTAGCAGATCTGCTTGATGTGGGAAGTCTTCTTGGGGCCTGGGATGGGGATGAGGGAGGAGATATGGGGGCAGGTGTAGCACTTCCTGGGGTTGCAGGGAAAAGTGCCGGGTGTGGTCGGGCTGGAGGGGAGTGTGGAGCAGACGAGGGAGTCACGGAGAGAGTGGTCTCTCTGGAAAGCAGATAAGGGTGGGCAGGGAAAGATGTCTTTGGTGGTGGGGTCGGATTGCAGATGGTGGAAGTGTTGGAGGATTATGCGTTGGATCTGGAGGTTGGTGGGGTGGTATGTGAGGACAAGGGGGATTCTTTTTTGGTTGCTATTGCGGGGGCGGGGTGTGAGGGATGAGTTGCGGGAAATGTGGGAGACACGGTCGAGGGCGTTCTCGACCCCTTGGGGGGGAGGGGAGGGATTGCAGTCTTTGAAAAACAAGGACATCTGAGATGTACGGGAGTGGAAT